GAGAATTTCTAAATACCTTCTAGAAACTATTACCTGACAGGTAATTGCTGGTGAAGATGACCAAACCAAAAAGATTTTTAATTTAAATCTAATGCGGAGGAAAGAAATGTTTTCAAATTATGAAGTTTTTATTCTAATTTGGCGATATGAAATGTGTCCAAATTATTAATTAACGGTTCAAAGCGATCAATTTGCAATTTTAATCAATGCGACATCCTTACGGACAATATGAAGTAGTTTTGGAAAGAATATTCTTGAACTTTGAAGATCCCTATCAGATTGAGAATTAATTTCTCATGATAATAGTATGGATTTACAATCCTGTTGTTATATCATTAATGAAAACTTGCGTTAAATAGTTCAAAGGATTGCGGGAGATGCTCACTGGTAGTCATTTTTTACAACACTTCTCTTTTATTTCACTTTTTGTTGTTTGTTTGTTTGTTTGTCTGTCTGCTCCAAATATTGTAATCGGTATTTAACAAACTTCTACCTCTCCGATTGATCTGAAAATTTGCACACCTGCGTAATTTCGGAGACAATGCATGAATCAATTCACAGAATCTATAATTTTGTGAATTTATTTTTAATATATCAAAGAAAAATTAAAATAAAATTTTTAAGATTTTAAAATAATATTTGAAAATAATTGTACATGTGTAACATCGGAGATACTGGATTCTTTAGAAGTGTTGTCTTTAATAATATACGTCTAAAAGTTACTCATTAAAGACAGCACTTCTAAATAATCCAGTGCTTCAATGTTACACATGTACAATGAATTTCTAATTTTATTCTCGAACAATGAAAAAAATTAACTTTTCAATTTTTTTTATTACATATAAAAAATACATTTCAAAATTATTTATTCTGTCAATTAATTCATGCATTGTCTCCAACTTTACGCAAGTGTTCAAAATTTCCGACCGATTTGACAGGTAGAAGCGTGTTAAATATTGATTATAAGATTTGTAGCAGACAAAAATTTTTTCATTTTTTTTTGCAACACTTCTCTTTAACTTCACTTCTTATTGTCTTTCTGCTACAAATCTTGTAATCGATAATTAACACACTTCTATCTGTCCAATCTATCTAAATTTTAAACACTTGCGTAAAGCTGGAGACAATGCATGATTCAATTGACAGAATTAATAATTTTGCAAAATTTAATTCTTTTTATTTTGAAAATAAAATTTAAAAATTACTTTTTAGCGCATTTTCTCATGTATGGAAAAAAGCGCTATTGTGCTCGCCATGTCCGTCCGTCCGTGTCCGTCTGTCTGTCTGTCCGTCGGTGCGACTTCACGTTTTCGTCGACGAGAAAATGCGCTCTCTGTCACTCACTGCAGTGAGTACTGAGTTATATTTTTTTAATATTTGATAATAAAATTAGAAATTCATTGGACATCTGTAACGTCGGATACACTGGATTCTTTAGAAGTCTTGTCTTTAAACAGTAATTTTTAAACGCATATTATTAATATTGAGAAAAATTTCATTTATTGAAATTATTTATTTTGTCAATTGATTCATGCATTGTCTCCAAATTTTCGTAAGTTTACAAAATTTCAGATTGATTGGACAGGTAGAAGAGTCTTAAATATCGAGATTAAGATTTGTAGCAGACAGACAAATAAACAAGAAGTGAAGTTGAAGGGAAGTGTTGTAAAGAGTAACCTTTAAACGCATATTATTATTATTGCAATACTTCTCTTTAACTTCACTTCTTGTTTGTCTGCTAGAAATCCTATAATCGATATTAAACACATTTCTACCTCTTCAATAGATCTGAAATTTGGCACACATCCGTAGAGTTGGAGACGATGCAAGAGAAATTGAGAAAATAAATGATTTTAAAATTTAAAACAAAATTTTCATTAATATTAAAAAATTTTTAAATCATTTTGTCTGCTACAAATCTTTTAATCGACATTTAACACACTTCTGCTTGTACAATCGATCTGAAATTTCGCACAATTGCGTAAATTCGGAGACAATGCAGGAATCAATTAACAGAATAAATAATTTTAAAACTTTAAATTTTTTTATATAATAAAAAAAAGTGAAAATTAATTTTTTCTAAAATTTAAAATAAAATTAGATATACATTTTACATGTAAAACATCGGAGACACTAGATTATTTAGAAGTGTTGTCTTTGAAAACCAATTTTTAACGCATATTTTACATTGCCATTTAGAAATCATGATTAGAATAATAATAATAATAATTTTTAAGTTAATTTAGTTTTGAGATTTTTCTTTTATTATACTTTTATCAAATCTGCAACCACTTTAATTTCGTCAGATTGTTCCGAAGTGGTCATATACGGTACGTGACTAAGTTCTCGTATGAATGGGTTACGGCAAAAATTAGTATAGCGAGAGGGTTGTAATGAAACACTGATACATTTCATATTAAATGAGGAAATTTAAGTTCACATCCTACGTTAACAAAAAAATCTCTAGTACACGATAAAGATAATCTGAACACAATCAAAATTGAGAAATTATCAGTTAGCACCACTAAAATTTCTCTATTTACCAGAAACTTTGATCCGTTGTAGTTCCGTTGAGTCGTACGACTGTTGTAACGAATGTATAATGCACGCACGCTTTGCGGCCGTAGGTTCAGCGGCCGTACCGCTGCTGTATTCTCGCGTCCGCTTTCACAGTTGCTCATTCTTCATAGCCGTATCTTCGCGCTGCAGTGATGTCTCTCGGCCGGTCGAACCGTGGAATTTATGATGCGACCGTACTTCGGAATAGTGATGTTCGTCTTCATAGTCGATGATAATACTCCAAGTCGATGATAATACTCGCTTGAAGATGACTGTGACCGTATCGCTTCTTCTGATGAAAATTGTGACCGTATCGTACTGATGACCGTACCGATGATAATTATTGGTGTGGAGCTCGAAAAATTGAATCTTCTGATGACGGGCGTTATAATCGTTGTACAACTCATGGCCCTCTCGCATTGTCTCACGGCTGAGTCGCAGCCGTTGTGTTGATGTTGATTTTCTTGACGTGCTCACCGGCCTCGTAGCTGCCTCGATAAGTCTAGGTTTCTCGCGACCGTCAATGTTCGAAAACGACGGAACCGCTGGCCTCACGGCCGCAGCCGTTACAAAGTCCGCTGGCTGCAGACCGTGCTTGCGGGACAGTCACCTCCGTTGAACAGCCATTGGCGCCAATTTTTAGTTCCTTTTATACGCTTTTATCTCGCACAGTTAAGCCTATACCCTCGAAGTGACGCCGCATACATAGACTGAAATTTCCCTGGCGCTGGGCTTGCAACAGCAACACCAGTACCACCCACCATCGCTGGGCTTGCCAGCGCCCGATGTAAACTAACTCGTTCCTACGGTCTCGAAACAACCACGTCTTACACACTTACTCTCTCGTTGCAGTCAACTCTGCTAAACTCTATCAATAAACTCTGCTAAACTCTACGTAGCTTCGACCCGCATTCTTAACACCTACGCATAATACATATTCAATATTACCTACTTTATTCAATCATATCAAATGCTCCTATCCAAGCTCCGCTTGGATTATATTTTGGAGTGTTTATTGGGATTTTGTCTACATATTTTGTCTGCAGCATGCTTTTATTATCACTGTTTATTAACGATGATAGTGTGTAAAAGATCAATACGTTTCTCACTCACATAAGGGTTATCTCACTCACACTCACAATTCTCACTCAAAAAAGGGATAGAATGTAGTTACTCGGGCTGAAAAACAAATTTATAGGCAAAAATCATATATCAATTAAATCCATTAGTTAGATAAGAGTCCTAGATTAACCATATATTCAGGGAAATACGTGAGTAATATTGTCCAAATAGTGACACAATTTCTTATCCACAGCACGAGCCAGCAGCGAAGGGCGCAGCCGTAGGCCGCAAATTTTACTCTACTCAGCCCCAGAGCTAGCTGCCGCAGACTGCACATGAAATCCGTAATCCAGACAAGCGACACACCGCCGGAAGATAATAGCGCCGGTGTTCAGCCAATACTTAAGCATGCTCGCTAATAAGCAAGCAGTTCCTCATCCGGCTGTACCTACTCCGGCCTAATCTCTTCTGGCTTAACCTATTCACGCTGTCCCGGCTCACAACTTCTTGCAGCCAATGACGGGCTCTACCAGCTACTTGGACCACCTTTATAACTTTATGCAGCCAATTAGGTTAGGTTAGGTCAGCTCAGGTTTGCTTTGGGTGGAGAAATGTTGCAACTTGTGTAGGTTAGGCTAGAAAAGGTTTGGCCAGATGCAGTATGGCATATGCATAGTATGCATATTTTGTGGCTGTGGACATCCGGCGCAATGGCTTTGAGCACTTGACTTTATAGGCTTTTACGCCCTCTAGCATTCTTACCTACAGAAAGAAATATGAACTAAATGTTTAGTTTGACAAAGCTGGCCTCAGGCATGCGCCCCCATGCAGCGAAAGTACAACTGATAGCCTTTTTGCCTAGCGAAACTGTGTCCGCATGACCGACGTATGAGCAATATGGGCATCGAAAAAATTCTCACTCATTTATCTGAAGGTATAAAATCTCACTTACCAAAGACAAAAGGGTTTCTATACAGCAAAAATGTATAAAGATTCATAGGTTTGATTTTCAAACTGCTAAAAAACTATAGTCGATAAATAATCAGAACGCTCTTATTGAACAGTATTCGTGGTGTTGTGATTTGCATTTAAGGAAACGTATCTGGGCAGGGAAAATTATAATAAGAGCTTAATTTAAATTTTTTATTATCTTGTTATCACAATTTTTCTTTGTAAATAAACTCTGCTGATTACTGATTTAGGAATCATCGCTAAAATTAAGAAGGAAAACTGCGTTGATTTATATGTTTAAGTATAACCTACGACCCCAATCGAGCCACGATAACGAACGATTTGAATTATGATTTAATTGAATTTAAGGTTTAACTATTAAAATTTTTCAATTTCATCTAATTGATAGTTGATTTTGTTTGCAGAAAATTTTTATCTTCATATTGCAATATTCATATTCTGTTGATGAACAGTTTTAAGATAGTATTTTTTATGTAGGTACAAAGCTATTCTTCTCATTCAAATGCGATCGTCTCTAGTTTCTAAATACAGATTGGCGTGATGCGTACCTGCCTACGTTGCTACGACGTTACGCAATCATCATTCTAGACTGGCGGAGCATAAAGGGAGAAGTGGTAGGACAGGCCATTCACTAGCACGTCCTCCTCATTCAGCTGTGCGCATTCACGTCAAGCAGTTAACATCCCAGAATTAAATCTAAGTAGTGAATGAATAGCCATCTAAATTCAAATAAGTGATTAGAATAAACATGAAGCTCAGTGTTCAGATTGAAAACAGTGTTTAGATTGAATGGGTTTACTACCGTTAGGAACTCTTCCGATAAAAATCACCACATTTCTAACTAAAACGAGATTAAATATTTATCAAAATTTATTTTAGGTCGTAATGCATTCACCTGTGGTTATTTTCAACAGTTTCATTTGGCACTAGGCCGTAATACTGCGCGCCTACCTGGTATTGTTGTACCACCTACAGATTGGCGCATCACTCTGAGGCTACATCTACGCCAGGCTGCAATACGTTGCACTGTTGCACTGTGGTTGGAGTAGCGTACCTCCCTGGTGTTGCTGTACCACCTACAGATTGGCGCATCACTCTGAGGCTACATCTACGCCAGGCCGTAATACGTTGCACTGTGGTTGGAGTAGCGCACCTCCCTGGTGTTGCTGTACCACCTACAGATTGGCNACCACCTACAGATTGGCGCACCACTCTGAGGCTACATCTACGCCAGGCCGTAATACGTTGCACTGTGGTTGGAGTAGCGCACCTCCCTGGTGTTGCTGTACCACCTAGCAAGTCTCCAGGCGCGGTCATACCGTGACACTTGCTCCATGGCGCCTGGACGAGGTGACGTCATCGTCGCGTTCTTAATGATCCCACTGACCAGGGTTGAAAATTTCACTAAATTTTAGCAATTAAGGAACAAAGTTTCACGCTATTAACACAAATATAATTTAAACTTACGGTATTTATTGAAAGGTGAGTTTCAACACAGTAAAAGCGTGAACATTTCTGTGAATTGGCGAATACATTTGAGAAAGTCGTTCATGGTTCCGAAAATGTTCGCCCACGAAAATGTTACCGCCACTTTGAGTGGTTACACACCAATATATTAAACACACCAGTACATTACAAATACTAGTGTATTACACATCCCAGTATATTACAAATACCAGCATTCTACTCTTACCAGTATGGTGAGATGGGACAGGCCACGGCGTAAAGTGTGGTGTGTGGAGTGATGCCCGTGATGGTGTACTGCACCACACCTTCGTAGTTGTCAAAAGCGTGATCTGGGTAAGTGTGTAGGCACTGTGGAAAATTTTTTCTGTAAATTTTACCCAAGTTATACTTATATAAAAATAACTATATAAAATGTCGGAAACTTTATAAGTTGTTAATCTCTTTTTATCAGAATTAATGATAATTAAATTATTATTTCATACATAGAATATGAATAAATAATAATTGTACATGATTTGCTAATCGATTATCATTAGACATAATTTGATATAAGTTAACGTTTCAAACTATTTTTGACAAATTAATATTATCAGTCACAATTGTCTACATTTTTCATCTTACCAACCATGAATATTATTGTATTATCGACAATATTGTCTCTATCACTAACCTTAGCCAGGAGAATAAGAGGTGAAATAAGGTCTTTGTACGAGTTGGCCTCCAGATGAATTATGACGGGACCGGGACGCTGGGAAAGTTTAACATTAACTAAGATTAATTAATTACTTCAATTGCTAATTTACCATGAATTAATGATTATGATATCGAGTTTAGAAATACTAAGAATTTTTGAAATGTTAATTTACCAGAAATTCATGATTTGATTAATGTTCTGACATATGTTTCATTTGCTTTCAATTCTTGATTGCAACAAAACATTTCCCTCCAAGCAAATTACGTAGAAATATCGTTGATTACGAATTGAATTCGGTAAAACCACGTTTAATCAACGTTATTTCAACTTTAGATATCTGGTGGGCTGGTAACAGCATAGTGGCAAACTGGAGACTCATCTAATTAAACGATTTTTGTTCCTTTAACCTAAGATTACGAAGAAAATTCTTAACAGAGTTATTAGGCATTTGAGATATTTTCAAGAAAGTGGAATGTGCCGTGTAAAGCATAATGTAATCTCTCACATGTACAAACGCAACAGCCACAGATAGTATTCATTTCAATAATATGATTATTCATAGCAAAATATCATTCGAGTCACTAGAATGGTATTATGAAAATCAAGTGCAGATGATTTACCAAAATCTAAAGATTAATAAGCAAAGACTTTTCGGGATTTACATGTTTATTCAATTTAAATGATTTGAATCCCGACCATGCCTGAGCATGCCACTTGATAATTCAAAATTTTTATATATGAGTCTATAGAAAGTAGCTACTGTTTACTGGGATAAACTGCTGGAACAAAAGAGACTGGAATCGGTCCATTTAATTATCTCGATTAAAGCAAGTCAATGAATGATTGGAAGCTATGAAGAAATTCACAGTGAACTTTTTTAGTTTCAGTCACCAGTTCCTCCGGAATAGTTTCCATATGGCAGGGGTTGAAGCCATTTTCCATTGAAAGGACTTTTGCTCTCCTGAGTTCACTCGAAAAATAATCCGCGTAGACGTTAGCTTGGAGTCTGACAAAATGGGTGAGAATATTTGGTTCACAAATTAGAAAGGAATTTCGGCTTAGAAGAAAAAAATTCATAATTCTAGGCATATATGATAATTCAAAGAAATAGGACGTTAAATTATAGTTCTGCAAGCTTATTACAAATATTGCAGCCAAATTGGAAGATTCTTCAGTTCATATAGTCAATTGGACCAGGAAATAGTTGGTGATTATTTAATACTCAAATAATGCCTACTGAATAAAATATATCTGTGGTAGTTTATTCGCCAATTCCTTCAGTCATAAAAAATTGTTTTAATCTCACTGGCTTCTAAACTAAGAGTACCTCTTAACTATATTGGTCTCGTAGCTATACATGTATGTATCTTTAAATTTGTGGGTTTCTTAGCTATGTGGGTCTCTCAACTATGTAAAACTCTGAACATTATGGGTCTTTGAACTTTGTGGATCTTTAAACGAACCGCGTCTCCGAACGATGCCTATAATACAACCAAGGAATATATTTTGTACCTGAATATAGTCGAAATCTTTATATTAAGCATGCAGCCATGAGTATCTGTAGCAGCCTTATTTTTAGTTATTGATTCTGAATTCAGGGTTTTCTTTTAAATGTGGCCTAAAATTATGGCAAGCCAATAGTTCTCAAGTAAATATTTTGTCGGACTTATTCAAGTAGAATGTCTCCCATGTGGCACATGGTTCAAAAGATGAATAACAATATAAAAATTAAAGTAACATACAGGTGTAAATTTTTAAGCTTGACATCTGGGTCGTGGTTGTAGATCATGTTGGAGAATATGAGGGCTTGGCTCCATCCATTGATGTGAGCTCCTGACGATCCAGAGTGGAAACTTCGGGACACTTCCGGGACCAGTGCATACCTTCCCCGACGAAGAGGCGCATAATGTAGCCTCCAATCCCAGTCCCAAGATTTGTCCTGTGAAATAATTTTTGGGATGGAATTTCATTTGTAATTTTGTGTGCTTTTGTGTTATGCATGTGTTGCCAGTGGGTGAAGTATCAAGAAGCTCCTATTGTTGGATACGAATAAAGATGTCCGCCAGAAACTCGACCTGTCGAAAATGCAGAGTTATCCCACGACGTGTAGGAAGATCAGAGGCCAGTTATAGTCGATCAGCAGCAACATCATCAAAAAGTCACCTTGGTTTGAACGTGTCGGTGAAGTTTTCGCGGTGTTTCTTTAGTTGTATTTTTCATTTTTATTTCTCATTCTGTTTGGGACGCCTTCTCTCATTTCAACTTTCAATGACAGATTCTGAATTGTAGGCATCAAGTGCTGAGAAGGATGAATATTGCTACAAAATTGAGAAAGGAATCATCTAGAATTTTTAATTTCGTTCGACAAAGACAAAATCTTTTTGCATCGATGCATGGATCGTGGTGTGCACAACCAGCCAGATTATGGTTAGATGTCTCGCGTTCGTTGTTGCACTGCCAGAAAACTATTGCATTATAATTGCAGAATACATATGCAGAACCCGTCACTATGCAGAATACATATCCGCAGAACCCGTCACTGTTCTTGTGCATCACGCACCAGAACGAACTCCTTCGGGAAAAAGTCTGGTTTGCAGCAATTTTAAAAAAAAATCATCATAGATTCTCAAACATTCACTGCCACTGCAAACCTTTCACCAACCTTCTTTCTTGCTCATGGTTAGCACATTATTTTTTATTTTATAAGGCCAATAGCCTGCGTATTTCAGTTAGTTTTTTATTTTTTCACATCTTTATTGTGAAATCTCGCAAATATAATCTCCTTGTGCCCCAGTGGCTGGCAAATTATTTTACCCAAGAAACTTTATTAAGCAGTTATGGCCGCATGAAGCCCAATCTCCGTGCTGTCACACTCACCGAGTTGTCGACCCAAAAATGAAGGATTTCTTGAGCGTATTCCCTTGTGACCATCCAGCCGAACTGGGGGAACATTTGTGAGCGCCTGACACGCGTGGCGTCAGCCGCGACCGTGGGGCAGCTGTTGAGGGAGAAGCTGTTCACGACGTAGAGTGTGGCGTCAGCGTCCAGCAGCCACGCCGTCTGGTGGAAGTAGCTGCAAATGAAAATAAAATAACGTAGTGTGGCGTCAGCGTCGAGCAACCACGCCGTTTGGTGGAAAAAGCTGTATAGGAAAGTGAAGTAATGTAGTGTGTGGCGTCAGCGTCCAGCAGCCATGTCGTCAAGTGCAAAGTTTTTGTAGGGGTGTGTGTGTGTTGGGTACGCTGCCGTGCACCACCAAATTTGTGCACAAATCAGCCTTGAAAGAAACACCTAGTATTTTTCCGGATGACCACCAATCAGCCGTGGATTAAAACTAGCCCGAGATATCATCTTGCTTTAAAAAAATATTAAGAGCTTTACGCCACCACATTCTGAAGCGAATAGCCCAGAGAGTAATGGTTGCCCACCACTGAACGTTGTTGCATCGAACCATCACTTCATACTCTGACTTTAGCTCGAACTGTAACTTACTGACAAATTAAGGACTGCGACCAACCAGCCCAGCCCGCCGGTGAAACTGCATGCATCCTTCCGTGCACCACCATACGGTCACTTTTAGCTCACAACTTTGGTGTTAGGTTTCAGAAAGCATAGTTCTGTTCCAAAATCTATCGTCCTTCGACAAGCGACTTCCACAGCTTGGCTAAATTACTTAATTTTTAGCTCACGGTATCTGGGGTTAGGTTTCAGAGAAGCGAGCTTGGAACTGCTCCAAAATTTATCGTAGTACAACGCGTGACCGTTCGACCGTAGGCTGATTCCACACATGGGACAGATACGGACGGCTCCGGCACGCTCCGTCCGGGTGGTGTAAAATTTTTTCGCGTATTGGCATACGATGCTGGGCCAGTCTACGTCAGGCCATTTTCCTGTGGTCTAATTGACCTAATTCAATGGATGTGATCTGTCTGGTGGCTTGCGGCTGATAATGTTACACTCAAAAAGTGTTATAGACTACGTTCTTGAGGGAAGGGATCATGATAGTCCATTCGATGCAAGGCGCTGGTGGTCTCCGACAGGCGTTCCTGTGTGTTAAAGGCCAGCGAGTCCAAGCTTCTGACTATGCGTTTTCCCATCATGGAACTACCTAAAAATTTTTCTGTAATAACCAAACAAATCTAACTGATTTAACATAGCCTTATTGGCTGCTGTAAGCTGGAGAAGAGGAGACAGTAACGATGTGGAGCGGGTTATTGGCTGCAAGAAGGTGGAGCCAGTCAGGGTAACTGGAAAGGTAGGGCCATGCTGGGTTAACACATCGATGAAGCCGTGATTGGCTTGAGCAGCGACTGTGGTTTTGCGTCGATTTACCTTTACGCAGTTCGGATATACTTTTGGCTTTCGTTGTTTCTATAGAGCTTGATATGCGATTTCGTAGCTCTGAAGCTCTGTGTATGTTTAGGCTGAGCTTTGGCTCCAGGGCTAGTTTTGGCTCCAGGGTACTGTGTTGCCAACTGCTGAGTTCAATATGTGGGAAATAAACGAAACACCGTTGAGTGCAGTATCAGCCTTTAAAAATCTCAAAATAAGGTGTGATTTCTAATCTGTCTAAGAAATTTCTAAGGAATAATCTACCATGATAGAGAATAGAGCTATGATACGTTTACCATAAAGAACTTGCTGCCATTTGTCCAGAAACAAGGGTCGCGCATACGATCGTTATGATGAAAAAGTTCGCCAGTCTTTAGTGTTCAAAAGTTTTTAAACAAAACATTCTACCAGAAATAAATAAGTGAATAAATATGCAATAGACGTTGTTTGTTCTCACACATCTTGAAATTTTATGGAATAAATTAGAATTGTCGGCCTTGAAGAAATAGGCCCATGGCCTGTTGCCGATTCTTGAACTTTTCGTGACTTGATTCACAATGGATCCGGCCTTTGGAACCCGATCTTTCCATAGCTGATGATTGATTGAGATAGCTGCTGGACTTATTGCCTGGTCCGTAATTTGCTAGGCATTGTAAGACTGAACATATGCCCCTGCAATAGCCTGCACAGCTTCGTCTAGTCTGTTTTTGAAGGCGTTCATACTCGGAGCGTCAACGATGCTATCAGGGAGGCTGTTCCACATATCGGTGACTCGAAGCGAGAAGAAATGTTGTCGAATGGACGTGTTACAACGCAGTTTTTTTAGATAGCCGTGGCCCCAGGTGTTGGTTCTTGTTTCAAATTCTAGTAATCCTTCTGGGACCTTGTATAAGCCATGAGCATACTTGTATGCTTCAATGAGGTCCCCACGCAGACGTCGATAACTGAGGCTTGGAAGCTTCATAATCTTAATCTTTCCTCATAGGACTTGCCTTTCAAGCCCGGAACTATCCTCGTTGCGCGTCTTTGAACTGGCCAAAGACTTCTATTTGATTTTTGACCTTTTCAAATTTCGGTGACCGCACGACGTTTCCAAACTCTAGGTTCGGGCGCACGACAGCAACAACTGCTTCATCGCTTCTGCATCTAGGAACACGAAAGAGCGTCTGATCAGTCCAAGCCTTTTATTGGCTTTATTAACTTGACCTTCATTATGCTTAGAAAATTTCAACTCATTGTCGATATTAACTCCTAAATCTTTTTCCATTGTCGACTTCGACATCATCACTCTGTCGTTCCAACCGTGTCTTCTCATACTGTAATCTTACTGTTCATTATTCTTGCCAAGGTGGATAACTTTACATTTGTCAGCGTTAAAACGAAGCTGACACTTAGCCCAGTCTACCAGCCTGTCAAGATCACCTTGCAACTGTACTTTTTGCGATGTATTCTTCACTGTATTATAAATTTTTGTGTCGACGGCATACATCGAGCAAACGCTAGACACAGCTTCTGGCAGATCGTTAATAAATGCAACGAATTGAATAGGCCCGAGAACACTTCCTGTAGCACGCCGCTGCGCACTGAAGACCAGGCTGAAACGGACCCATTAATACTGACACATTGTCGCCTCCCTGCTAGAAAATCTCTTATCCATTCGAGTACATCAATCTTAATTCCCAAAGACTTCAATTTACGCAACAGCTGCTCATGTGGGACACTGTCAAATGCCTTGGCAAAATTAATGTACACTGCATCTACTGGCTCCTTTTCGTCCAGCAGGCGGGTCCATTCGTTCAGAGTAGACAAGAGGTTAGTGGTGCAGGATCTCCCGGTAATAAAGCCATGTTGACAGTCTGACAGGAGGTTATCAACAGTCAAATGATCGATCAATCGATCCCTCACAGCAGATTCCATAACCTTGAAAACGACACTTGTCAAACTGACAGGGCGATATTTGCCCGGGCAGCTTTTGTCACCTTTTTTGAACAATGATGTCACTTGAGCTTCTTTCCAGTCAGCCGGCAAGATCCCTTCGTTCAAAGTTTTTCGAAAAAAAATGACGTCAGAGGGCCGGCTAGGACAGTTGCTAACTCTTTGAGTAATCTGGGGTGGAAGTCGTCCGGTCCACATGACTTCTTTGGATTTACAGCGATAAGGCGCTTGAGAACCTCTTCTTGTATTTCAAAACTCATTAATTTAGAGTCGACTGGGCGCTCCTCAATAGCTGGAATACTGTTCAAGTCCTCTTCTGTGAATACGATACTGAAAAAGTGATCAAGTACGTTAACATAACCCTAATCAAAGGATATCTTTCGTTGATCTACTTTCAAATCAGAAATACCGTCCTTCATCTGGCACTTCGAGCTAGCGTACAAAAGGAAGGCTTTCGGGTTCTTTTTTGCATTTTTAGCAATACTTTTTTCGAGGGTTTTTACTGCGGTGCGACAGCTTTCCTTAGCTTGATTTCGAGCTCTTGCGCATAGGTTATAGTCAGCATCGCTACGAGCCTGTAAATAACGCTGGTATGCTTCCTTCTTTGTTTTCAGCTTAGCTAAAACTGTACTTTTCATCCACCTAGTTTTTTTGGCTCTACCAAGCTCAATTGTAGGTACACACGCTTCAACTGCAAACATAACCGTGTCCTTGAGAAATGACCATGACTCAGTCGCATTCATGTCCTTAATACAGTTCGAAATATTCACTACATTCGCTGCTTCACGGAGTTTATCATAGTTACCTTTCGCAAAATTCAAACGCTCACGCTTCCGAGGCGTCTTTTCTGTACAACACTTGAGTCTGAAAAACAATGATTGGTGATGGCTTTTGCCCAACGGAGATTCGTGACGAAGCTCATCTAACATTGATTCATCACTAGTAAACTCCAGGTCTAGAATATTGGGAGTCTGTTTACTTCTATAATGGGTTGGTTTGGTAACGTGCTGGACTAGGAAGGAGTCTCTTACTGACTCCATGAACAAGGATACTGGGGGATTCTCTTCCCTTAGAGAGGATCCATCTATCCAGTCTAGCTGTGGATGATTAAAATCACCGACGATCAAAGTGTGTGACCTACGAAAAGTCATGTTCGGTAAAAGACTGTTTAATACTTTATCGTTATCAGAAGATCTGTTTGGTGATCTATAAACGACGTCTTTGAGGAGGCTATCTTTGCCTATGAGAGAAAGATCGCACCACGCTGATTCTCTAGCTGATTGATGTTCGGCAGATAACTTGACTTGCTGGGCCCCATAAGATGTTCTAACCCACAAAGCTACACCTCTGCTGCACTGCTCTTCATTTAAGTTATGAAAATAATCAAAACCTAGGAACTGAAATTCAACAGGTACAATTTTCCCCCCCAAAATTTTTAGGGAGTCTCTCTGTAATACAAAATCCGAGTTCGTGTAAAAACATTTTAAAGCTTTTTGTGCACTTTCACTTTGATGCATTCGTTTACTTCTTACATTATTTACAGGCCTGGATCTATGGACACGACTTCTTACTTGTCTTCCATCTCCGCTGACCGACCGTGTGCGGCCGGTGTTGTCTTGATATCGTGAAAGTGGTTGACCTGAGTCTCCATGCTTTTCCGCTTGAGTCTATCCTGCCATTTCTTGCGAAAATTTTCTCTCTCTGAAGGGGTAGCATTCTCTTTAACATAGACTGAATTAAACTCTGTGAATTCACTTAGTTTTCTCGCAGCTTTAAGCACATGTCCGACCTGGGCTGCATCCTGCACAGCTACTAGCAGCGGTCTACAGATGGTAGCGTCTTTCGATCGCAGCCTCTTGCATGCCGTTATATTCACAACGACGTTAAGTGCCTTGGTGCAACAACCATTTATAAACGCAGCATCCGAAGCATTGCTTTCGGGAACGTTAGACCAAACAAGGTTAAGTCTTGTTCTCTCTCTATCCAGCAGTTCACGAGTGCTCTCGCTGGCGAGATCAGAGATGACCTCTTTGCGGCCTTTACCTTCTGTGTTATCGCCATTTTCTGTTTTGTGTAGATGAGCTTTCATTTCAACCAGCTCGTTTCGTAACGAGTATAATTCGCTACGCCACAAGCTCAAATCTTTCTTGTGGTTCTCCTCCATTTCGGCTCTCTTTCTCAACTCTTGCTTGTTGGTTTCTTCCATTTCGGCCTTTAAGACAGAAAACATAGAAGAGCACTTCTCTTCCACCATCTTCTCGCTTTTTACAGCGCTAAGTGCAGGTTGTTGACAGTCCTGGCAATACCAGTGTACTGACTTGTTTTTGCGAACAACCGAGCAGTCTGTCTTGCTCAACTTTGCACAATTGTTGCAGATGATATCCCCGCAAAGCTCACAGGCCACTGTTGCGTCATTGACGTTAAGCGATACCAGCTTGCAAAACTTACAAATTTCAACTGGCTCACTTTGCGATTTGATCTTCACATTCGGTTTAACAGGACTGGAGGCCTTTTCAATTAGTCTTTTTTCTCTTTGACCAGCCATCGTGAAATGCAAAAGCTAAAAAAATGTAACTCAGTACTCACTGTAGTGAGTGACAAAGAGCGCATTTTCTCGTCGACAAAAACCGGAGGTCACGGACGGACGAACAGACGGACATGGCGAGCACAACAGTGTATTTTTTCCATAAATGAGAAAATGCGCTAAAAACACAAGTTGAAAACTGAATCAAGTTGAGTATAAATTGTAAAGTTTCCAAAGTGCTGAAAAACTCGGTTACAGACTTGAGAATAAGCGGCTTTCAGAAAGCGGCGATGTTAGCGGCTGTAGAGGTGTTCAGGGTAGAGGAGGTGAGCGTGAACATGAAACAAAGGCGGTATTGTTCTACGCTGGCGAGGCAGTGCACGTTGCCCTCGCTTGCTAGCGACCCTTGATGACTCTATAGCTCGCGTTATTTAAGATGAAAACAATTTTACTACAGGTTGGTTCTTTCTATTCGCACTCTCTTTTACTGACTTCGCTGAAAATTCAGTCATTCACTGTCACGGATCATAAAAAAATACGAAAAGAGTTCCGAAAACGGAACAATAAAAGGTAAAAGTTGAAAATCTGGGACCAAAGGAATCAAGACCTGTGCAAAGGAATCAAGATTTGGCCACGGTGGCACAATGGTTGATAACATTTCATTCTGAATAACATGTATATATGTTATTATGAACTAACCTTATGAAGTCAGGCGAGACGATGAGGTCGTCCTCTAAGATGATTACTTTAGAGGCGTTGCGGAAGGTCGAGAAGGCCGTGAACAAAGAAAATCTGAAGTGCGCGTTGAGGGGAGTGTTAGTGCCGGCGTCTCCCTCGTGGCGGTGCTCGATTACCGGCAAGCTGAGAATTTAAATGCAATTGGTGAGAGAAAAATTATACCATATCACAGCTTTGTTAAGCCTCACATAAGTACAGAGGAAGTATCAGGCAAATAAAAATTTACTTGGGAAGAAATAGTAGTGGCGAAAGATTTATTATTATTTCATGAATTTTAAAGTATTATTGAGCTTCTGACCCAAAGATCGCGGCCAGCTGCGCAGTCTCTTCCTGATGACCGTCGATGAGGACCAAAATGTCGGTTTGAGCCGCACCCGTAGCCAGTAGGAGACTTATCAGCTGCCTATATTACACTTTAATTAAGTGATCAGCACTCAAGTATAATTGTTTCAATTTATCTCAATCAAAAACATACAAATATTGAAGATCACGGATAACAATTGTTTTACAGTGAAATACAGAGGCCGAGTTGCCATTGCTGTCCGATGGTCAGATTCTGTCAGATCAAGAATTAAGGATTTCCTAAACTGTTTCTTTTTGTTCGGGACTTACCGGTAAAAAAAGTGACACTTGGTGGCGGTGAGCATCGCGATAGGGATGATCTCCGACATGGGGATGAAGTTCTTTTGAAGGCAAGGTCTTCGTTAGCATCAATGCGACACAACTTGCAAACTGTTTTTCAGCTAATAGTTTTTATTTTAAATATCATGATATATTCTAGACATCTTGACACCTAGTGGCGATTAATTGATTGATAAAGAATTCCCTAATTTATTACGAAGTTCAGTGCGGTATGGTCATGTTGAATAATAACAAAGTAAATTAAGCATGTCACGTCTTTCTTAAGTCAAAAATCACCGATGACCACCGCAGTCGCTGGGGATCCAAAGGGTCCTTGCAGCGGCACAAAGTCCCGTACCCTTCGTAGCGGCGACAAAACTGCGCCTGCTTCTGTCGCCGGGGATCCCGGTGCCAGGCACATCCTGTTCCTGTATAAGTTATTCACTGCAGATCTCGTTCTGTAGGTAATCATCGATGAGTACGTTAATGTAAGAGTTAGCCATCATTGTAGCAAGCGAAAATTTATATTAGATAATTAACCACAATAGATACTCACCTCGGCCCTTGGGTATGAGCACTGAAAGATCAATGCTGGATTGTTGGTTCTTATAACTTTTAAAGACCACTGCTGTTTCCAGATAGACACGCGCCGCAAACTCCTCCTGCTCAAGACTATAAAATTTAATGCTATAATCATCATGAAAACCTTGTTGGGACGGGGCGCATGCCGGAAGCCAGATTTGCCACACTTCACATTTTGTTTATATATCTTTGCGTAGGTAAGAACGCTAGAGGGCATGACAGCCTATGAAGTCAAGTGCTCAAAGCCATAGCGCCGTATGTCCACAGCCACAAAATTAGCTAGCTAAAGGTAAGCATGGCTTACTTCAACTGGCCAAACCTCTTCCGACCTAACCTCTTCATACCTAACCTACAAAAATTGCAACATTTCACCACCCAAAACAAACCTGAGCGGACCTAACCTAACCTGTTTGGCTGCAGGAAGTTAGAAAGGCCGTCTACGAGTGCTGGTAGAGCCAGTCATTGACTGCAAGAAGGTTGTGAGCCGGGACAGCGTGAATAGGTTAAGCCAGAAGAGGTTAGGCCGGAGTAGGTACTGCCGGATGAGGAACTGCCTGCTTACGAGCTAGCATGCTTAAGCATTGGCTGAAGATCTAGGGCGCTATTATCTATCGGCAGTGTGTCGCTTGTCTTGATTACGGAATTCAAGCGTAGTCTGCAGCTTCTAGCTCTGAGGCTGAGTTAAGTTAATGCATGATGAAGCTGGGCGTTGGCTCCAGGTCCTATTTAAGAGTAAAATTTGTGGCCTACGGCTGCGCTCCCGCTGGGACCTGGTACCCACGGCAAAGATTCATGTGATGAATATCATTAGATGATGAAAAGCATAAACTTCCCTGTGCAATATTATTGTTTGTACAAGTTTGTACGCGAGTTTCTTTAATCTACTGGAGTGATTCTTCTCCCCAATAGCATTGATCGTATGTTCAAAATAACAAGTAGTTAAAAATTAAAGCACCTCAGCATTTTGTGGTGGCCAGTTTTCGGGAACAACACTGATGAGTATAGACGGGTCGTCAGTGTCAACGTATCCAGTGTATCCCAAAAATAGATTTTCACCATTTTGCAGCTTTTTCTTCACTTCTCTCCCATCCGGTGTGAGCACCAGTGCCTCGTAAGGTTTTTTAGATCTCTTTGCGTACTCAGCTCTAGCTCGTTGCCTCAGTTGTGCGTTGTCGATGAGGTATGGAGACGAGCCGATACCCTGCGCCAAATCAGCACCTGGATGAATAGGTAGGAGCTGAGGTATGGAGACGAGCCCATATCTTGCGCCACGCCAGCATCTGGATGGATACTTGAAAAGATAGGAGATGAGGTATAGAGAAGAGTCTATCCCCTGAGCAAAGAGGTATTAAGAGCCAGCGACGATTTTTCTGAGGGAAACCTTATTCCATGGGCCGTGCTATCAAAACTTGCTTATGTACATATAGAGGATGATTTCTCGTGTGTGATTCGTGGGTTGTCTTTGGAAACCGTCAGTAGCTGGCTGACGGTGTTACTGACTCTGACTGATTTTGACATTACGGCACCAGGTACCCCAAGGAATTTACTCAATAAGCATGGCGTAATTAAGTTATGCGCTGGAAATCAAGTTCACCTAACTTGAGGGCTCCTCCCACGGTGTCGCCCCTCATCCCCAGGTGCTGCAGCAGCATGCGCTCTGTGCTCCTCAGGAAGTCCCCGGCAGTGAACTGAATAAAGCATAACATTAATTACCAAACGATTCTCCAGTTTCCGTTAGTAATGTTAATAGGCACGAAAATTCTACCTGAAAAATTCTTAACTTGCATGACTATCATGACCAAGGAAGTCAGGCCTCAGGCAGTCTAAATTTGAGGGTATGACCGAATTGATTATTTCTTCAAATTCGGCCGAAACACTCACCATCATGACCAAGACGACCCGAGCCTCGAGCAGCAAATGGGTCAGAGTCTGGCCCAGCAGTTCAGTCTCCGCGGGTTGACCAACACACTCACCATCATGACCAAGACGACCATGCAGAGCCCCGTGCAGCAAATGGGTCAGAGTCTGGCCCAGCAGTTCAGTCTCCGCGGGTTGACCAACACACTCACCATCATGACCAAGACGACCAGAGTCCCGGGCTGCAGGTTGGTCAGGGTTTGGCCCAGCAATTGAGTCTCCGCGGGTTGACCAACACGCTCACCATCATCACCAAGACGACCAGAGCCCCGGGCTGCAGGTTTGTCCAAGCAGTTGAGTCACTGCGAGCTGACCAACACACTCACCATCATGACCAAGACGACCA